GGAACAACTTCAAGATTTCTAAAGCAGTAAAACGATGTCAAAAAATAATTTTAAGAACCTGTTAGAACTTTAAACATTGTGTAGTTTCAATATAGGAAATAAATAAAAAAAACAACGTTGTTGTGGTTAAGTTCCATTAAAAGTTTAATGTATCAAGTTTCAGAATAACCAACACCACATATGGAAAATCAGACTTTAGTAACTGCAATAAAAACAGCAAAACTACCTGTTCATGGACAGATGGCTGTATTGTTGCAACCGATTCGCTATTTTTCATCAAACTATCAGTGGTGCAATCTCTGATAACTTCACACTTATTCATTTTGGTAATCTTAATTGCCTTCAATGTTTCCAGAACGGAAACAGCTGTATCACGTACCATTTCTAATTCATCCTCTAATCTAAAATTAAGCAAATTAATATCGTCTTTTCTTCCAATTCTCATAGCTAAAGAATTACTAATCCTTCTAATCCGATGAAAATATGTTTGACAGACAATTATCTAATAAATAAACCCTAATATATATCTAATAAATATCCCAGCATTCAAATATGTCCCATTTCTGACCCATCTCTTTTATAACCAACTGAGAGAGCTTTTTCTGAAAAAAAAAAAAAAAAAAAACTAAGTGACAAACGACTGCTTTCCCTGAACTAGTTTTTAAGTACAAACATCATACTTCCTCCTTCTCTCCCTTTCCCAGCTTATTTGATACTTTTATCCTATAATTTATCTATTTTTTAAGTAACATACTATTCATGCTACTTATAAAAATAAATTCTTAAAAAACTTGATTAATTATTCAAATAAGTCTTATGCTGTGTTTTAAGACAGCTACTTACTTCATTATTTGAGTAGAATCAGTTTCATCACTTAAAACGATTATCGAAAGTTTCGTTTCCGTTTGAAGTGCTAGTAACAAATCGGTATCATCTGCCAAAGTTATATAATCACCATCTGTAATATCAGTGTAAATCAAGATAAACAATCGATGTGAAATACCACGATTAAATTCTCCAATGTAGCTCAAACATTAACTCAGTTATTTAAAAGTTAGCAGACAAATTTAAGCTTGAACAGCTATGTGAAGAAAGCTTCGATCATTTTCGTAAACTGCTGCAAACATTCGTATAATTTCAAAATATTTATGTCAAAACTTATTCAACCTTCATCCTTATATTTCAACGATATGTTAGTTGAACTTTGAAGCTTGAATATTCGTTGCATCATTAAAACAAGATCGTTGTATGACATGTCATCACTATGATGGATAGTCATTTTACGCACATCGCTCCCGTATCGTGCTTTCAATGTCGTTGTAACTACTTTACCATTTGATACCATTTTCTGCAAATATACTGCTTAAGTTTTACAAATTCCAAAAGTCCTATCTGATGCAACGGTAACACAAAAACATGATGAGAGAATTTTTACTTTATCGTATAGGAGATAGGAGAATGGCGGTACGGGGAAGAAACCCAACTCTTTTATTTTGAATGGAGCTTATACTTCGAATAATTTTCACGCAAATTGATCATTAAAAACTAAAAACGAATCTCTTCATCCATCATTGAAGAGTTTATGGTGATGTGGAGATCATAAATTAAATAGTAAGTAATTAAAAAAAAAAAAGCAACAGAATGTCTTTGAGAAAAAAAGCAGTTAATCAGCAAACACATCGAGCAACCTATAAAAGAGTTAAAAAAGAAAACGGACACAAGGTATTGCTAAGAACATAATAACAACTATAATAATACTTTTCCTGAAAAAAAAAGCAAGAAAATAAGATAATTACAGCAATCAATAAGATAACATGAAACACTGTGTAAAAAAAAAAACCACACAACTGACCATAAAAATGACAAATTGATTTTATTTTTATTTATTTACAAAAATAAGAAAAAAAGAAAAAAGAATATAGAATACCGATTGACCTTTGACCTAAACTATGCTTAACTAAAACTCTCGACTGATTCATTAAACCATACAGCGACAGTCTCGCCCTTTCACTTCCACGTCAACTGTCCAATAAATTAGTCCATCACAAACAGTCTACGCTATGAAAATGATAATCTCTCATTGAAATATTTAGTAAGACTAAAATATTTTTGAAACTATATTTTAGATCATATAGTAAATTTAATATAATCAAAATTTTCTCTTATATTAATTTTTTAAAATATCAAAAAAAAAAAAAATAATATAGACTTTGATCATACACAGCAAAAGCAGCTTTTTTATAAAAAAAAAAGGAAATCATTTTGCTAAATTCACCAAATTTTTACACCACCATTTCTATTTTATAATTAATTGACTTTTTTTTTGTTTTTAATTAATAATTTTTAAATTATCGTCAACTTGAATGAATTTTTTGAATCAGATTTAAGATGTTATTTCAGTTTTAAGCTACTTGGCTTCTTGAGCTAAATCTTATTTAACTAACTTTTAGCTAAAAATACATTTAAAAAAAAAAAAAATTTACTAGGTAAAAAAAAAAGGTGGAAGAAATCTTGTGATGCTGATTTTGATTCTATAATAATTTAAATAGTTGAGAAATTAAAATTATCAACTAAACATAATTAATTATCATTTTAACAGATATTAATTAACAAACGGATAAACATTCTCTTTAATTTTTTATATAATTCAAACACTATTAATTTTTCATTCGAGCAATTAATGCAAAGTTTATTTTATCTTATCATAAATTTTAATTAATTTATCTTATATCATTAACATTGAGGAGAAATAACATACTAATATATCATTTAAATCTAAATGTTAATTTTAAACTAATTTCAGATTAATATTTTAAATTGCACAAAGTATAAGTTTTTTTTTTTTTTATTTCTTATTTTTTATTTCAAAATTTTAATTTTTAACCACATTAAAACATCGAATAATATTTGAAAGTTTAATGGTTAAAAGGTAAATGTTATTAATTCAAATTTCGATTGCACATTTTTTGAGGAAGAAAAAATCCAATTTAATCGATGAAATTGTTTACATCTAAGATAGTAACTCTATGAGAAATGTAAATTTGTAATTTATAAAGATGAAATTATTTTTGTTATAATTAATCAAATAAAGTTTTAATTGTATACGAAAAATAATTTAATACAGTTAATATTAAATTTATTAATATTAACTTTAATAAATTGCGACTTTCTTATAGAAGAAAGAAGAGTAATCGTTAAAAAGTAACTTTAAGTAAATATTAAATTCTCATAGAATTACTGTCTTGAAAGTAAACAATTTCATAGCAATTAAATAAATCAATAATTTTTCTCATCTTGTAAATAACTTTTAAATAATTTATCTCATATTATCAATATTTTGAATAAATGACATATGATGACATATAATCTTATTGATTTCCAATTTTTACTTCCATATTTAATTTAAGAATTCAAAAAAAAAAAAAAAAGAACATATCAACGTAGCCAATTTATATTACAAAAAAAAAAAAAAATTAGCACACTTATTGAATATTTGTTGAAAATTTTTTTCCAAAAAAAAACATTTAAAATACTTTGTACTCTTTAAAATATATTCACACTTAATATTATTGGTTAAATTTAAAATTTAACTAATAAATTAGCAATTTAGGTTTGATATTAATTCCAAATTCAAAACTTTTTTACAAAATATTAATTTTTCATTTTTTTCAAATATTTTATTTATTATTTGTAGCAAAATTTCGATAAATTTTATATTAAAAAAAAAAAAAAAAGGGATGAGAAAAGATTAAAAAAGGATAAAAGATTAAAATGATGTTAATTAGAGAATGATAATAATTAGAAATAAATGTGAAAGCCATGGCAACCAATTAATATAAAATGTTAAGTTAAAGTGTATATAGCATAATGTGCAAATCATTATTTCATTTTTCTTTTTTTAAAATTTTCATCATTAAATGTTTTATTTTATTTTTTTTTTGAATAAATAATCAATCTATCATTCATTCTTTTTTTCTTTCTTTTAAAATTTAAAATTTTCATATTTTTAGAATTTTTAAATCTTTACAAAAATTAATTCTCATTTTATAATTTTATCAAATTAATAAATGTTGAAATTAAAGTATAATTGTTTTTATTAATAATTATTTATGCTTTATTCATTTATTTTCGTAATTTTGCTAAGTGAAGTAAGTGATTTCAAAATGATTTGAAAAGAATTTTTAATTTAATTCTTTAAGTCATATTTGAATTGTTTGTTAAAAATAATTTAGTTTTTTTTTTTAAATATATAATTTAATGATTTAGTAATTTACTTTTCTACTTCCTTTATTTATTGATGTTTTTTTTTCTACTTAGTTGAATTAATGAATTGAATTGTATGATAATTATATACAAAATAAAATAACTCAAATAATTATTAACTCTTACTTATCGTTAATATTTGATGTTAGTTTGTTTTAACAATTCATTAAGCTGATCAATGTTTAAATTAATTTTTCTTTGAAAATCTTTCAACTTATAGCTTACTAATACATACTTGATTTCAGAGCAAAGTTAAAAATTAAATTTTATAATTAAAAAATTTGCAATTGTATTAATCATAAACTATCTGAACTTTTGCCTAAAATCATCCGTTTATTAGAATTTAGTCAAATTTTTTAATTAATAAACTTTGTTTTTTTTTCCCAATTAGTTTACTTTGCAACAATTTCAAATTTTTTACTTTTAAAGATAAAAAAAAAGTAAATTACTTTTAAAGTTATAAAAAAAGAAAAAAATAGAATATTATGTAAATTGCATCAAATAATGTTTTAATTTATTTAACTTACCTTAATTTATAATTAATGATTAAATAAGTTGACATCTTCTTAATCTCCAACAAATATCTTTTCTTCTCTTTTTTTTTTTGTCTTAAATTTTCATGAATTTTAGATTATTAATAATTTTTAGAAAGTTCAATTAATAATTGAAGTGAAAAAAATTTTTTTTTCTTTTAACATGAAGCGTTATATGATAATTTTTGTTATCAGGTGTGAAGAATGATGGAAGAGAGTGATAATTTGATAATAAATAAAAAAGATACGTCCAATTTGATTGACAAATTATCAGTGATAACTGAAGAAAGTGCAGTGGAAAAATTTGAAAAAACGGAAGATGAAATGGGCAATCAAAAATTTTATCAAAGTGATATGCAAATGAATGAGTTAACTGTAAAAGATATCAGTGAAGATGATAATGAACAATTAAAATTATCAGATAATATGAAAGAAAAACTTCATACGTTAACTGGTAATATACGATGTCGTACTTCACAGGTAATAAAATTAAATTATCATTTAAAAATCTTTTGTTTTTTTTTTCTGATAAATTAAACTAATTTTTGTGATCAATGTAATTAACTTTTGATATGATCATGAGCATTTATTCAAATCAAAAAATTAAATTCCATCAGTAATTTATTTTTGTAATTAAATTTTTCATCAAAAAAAAAAAGCTTACTAATTTTTGAAATTAACAAAAACAAAGTACCAATATTGATTGTTGTTAAAATTATCAATTATCATAATAAATTAGTGTTCGGTTTTTTATTTTAAACTGTAAATAAATTATATTTAAATGAATAGATGGTTGATGAAATAATGCAAGAATCGGATGATGACGAGAAATGCTCAGAAAATATTGAAATTGCAACTAGAAAAGAACATCGTCCAAGTTTAATGTCACTGGTTGGACTTCAAGTTAGTACTTAAAATAATTAATTTTAAACCTAATTAATTATTTTAGCCAAAAAAAAAAGAAAAAAACAACTAATTTTCTTCATTGTTTACAAATATAAATGAATGACTGTTTAAAAAATAAAAATGAAAATATAAATATTTTCATTTTTTAAATTTTTAAAATTTAAAAAAAAAAATTTTTTTTTATTTTTTAGCGAGGAATATCACCTGCAAGTGATAAATGTACAAATAAATCCAAAAGTTATTTACGACGAATCTTTCTATCATCCATCAGTCCATTTCGTTTGTTTATTATTTATTAATAATAAATAAATTTAATTATTTGCTTTCATTATTTCAATAAATTCAATCATTGCTTTCTTGTGAACTGAACAGAAAAAAAAAAAATGCATAAAATTTAAAAAATTTTTACAATAATTCTTTCATTTTTAGCTAATTTTTTTCATATAAATGATTAATTCTAAAATTATACTAATTAGAACTAATAAATGAAAATTATAATTATATATGTATATGCTAATTATTTGTAATTTAAATTATCAAATTTGACAAATTTTGTTTACTTTTTAAAACTTCTCTATATCATAAGCTATTTTCAAACTTTTATTCACTTTGTAATTTCCAGATCGAGAATATTTAATTTGGTTGACAATAGTGGTGACAGCATTTCTCTACAATGCCTTCGGTATTCCATTACGAAGTTCTTATCCATATCAAACAAAATCAAATTTAATTTATTGGCTTATCACTGATTACATTGCTGATAGCATATATTTAATTGATATGCTACTCATTAAGCCAAGGCTTCGTTTTATGAGTGGTGGACTTCCGGTTGTAAGTAATAAATTTAATAAATATTAACACAATAAATTTAAATTTAAAATATGCATCAAAGAGAATGAGAGAGAGAGAGAGAGAGAGGTAAATATTGATGTATAACTTATATTTTTCTATTTTTTGATTAGATTTATTTAATTAATATAAATAAAATATATCCATATAAATATTATATAAAATAAAATATACAAATATGTAAATTAAAATTTTTATATTTACAAAATTTAAATTTATTTAGTCTAAAATTTTATTTACTTATACTATAAAATATTTGTTTTTTTTTTCTTTTTTTGTTTAACATATTATTCTATGGTACATAACTTCAGCTTTTATTTTTTTTTATAATTTTATTTACTTATCATATTTTTTATGCTAAGTTATTTATAAATTAATTTTTGTATTTATTTGAATTAATGAATTTATTTGAAAAATTTTCTTACTCAGAAAGATATAAAAGAAACAATAAAACATTATGTGCACAGTAATGATTTCAAATTTGACTTACTTTCATTAACACCACTTGATATTATGTATATTTGGACTGGACCAATTGCTGCATGGCGTGCTATACGTATGTTTAAGGTAAAATTTTAATATAATTTCAAAATTTTTAAAATTAAAAAATTTTTTAAATGATTGTTTATTATCACTTAGTAAACAAATAAATATTTTATTTATTAGATCATATCGTTTTTTTTTTTTTTTGTTTTTGTTGTGATATTTTTTTATTTTTAGCTTCCATCTTTTTGGCAATTATTCAGTCTATTGGATAATTCAGTTTCAAATCCATACATAATTAGGTATTAAAGTTTGATTCAATTTTAAAATAATTTAATTTATTGCATTATGCTAAAATCCAAAATATTATTTTAAATTATAAATATTCAATGTGAATTAAACATACAAATTATTAAAATTATGTAAAATTTTCTGTTTTTTTTTTTTGGGGGGGGGAGGAGGAATTTTTGGGAATTTTTTTTTGGGAATTTCAGAATGTAATTTTAATTAGTTTGCAGAATAACAAAAACACTTGCATATATGATTTATTTAATTCATTGTAATAGTTGTGTGTATTATGTGTTGAGTGCTTGGCAAGCTTTTGGGCAAATTGCTTATAGAATGAATAATAAATGGTACCTCAATAAATGGGTTTATAATAATCAAGGTAAGTAAAATATTAAAGTAAAATAAGGTAGAATATTAATAAAATATGTAAATAATAATATTTTATTATTTAAAATAATAAATAATGCATAATAAAATTTGAACATATAAAAGATAAAATTAATTTAAAGATTATAATTAAATTATTGTTTTCCTGATAATTACAGGTAAACAAACACATAAAAGATAAATTAATTCAAAGATTATAATTAAATTATTAATTTTTTGATAATTACAGATTAATAATAATTTTATAATAATAATATAAATATTTATTTCAGGAAATGCTTATATTCGATGTTTTTATTTTACAACAGCCGTAGCAACATCAACCGGTAATAATCCGGCACCAACAAATGTTGTTGAATATATTTATATGACATTTTCCTGGATGATGGGTGTTTTTGTTTTTGCTTTATTACTTGGACAAATAAGTTGCATTTAATTTCTACATTTAATTTTAAAAATTTATAAATTTTTTTTTCAATTTTAATAATTTTGAAAGAATTAATTATTCAAATATTATTTGCATCAAACAATAAAATTATTCCATCATTTGTTCGTTAATTAAGCAGTATTCAAATTTATTTTATTAGCTAATAATAGATTGATCGAAATATTTTATTAGCTGAAGCAAATTTTATTTAAATTTATTATTCAACTTTTAAATTTCACATAAAATTTGTAGTATGGAAGATATATTTGAAATTAAATTAATTCTTTAGATTCGAGATATTGTTTCAAATGCAAATCGTAATCGTGAACAATATCGTAAAACTGTAGATCAAGTATTAAGCGAATGTAAACGACTTGGTCTATCCAAGGATACAATCGATCGTGTTCGAGACTGGTTTGTGTATACTTGGCAAAAGCAAAAAACTTTAGGTTTGTTATAAAGTTAAATTTATTTAAAATTATAAATAAGTTAGATTCATTTTAGTTTGTCTGCTTGAATTTATTCAAAATTATAAATAGAATTAGATTTGTTTTAGTTTGTTTCAAAGTAAAATTTATTCAAAATTATAAATAAAATTAAATTTGTTATTCAAAATTATAAATAGAATTAGATTTGTTTTAGTTTGTTTCAGAGTAAAATTTATTCAAAATTATAAATAAAATTAAATTATAGAATTAGATTTGTTTTAGTTTGTTTCAAAGTAAAATTTATTCAAAATTATAAATAAAATTAAATTTGTTATTCAAAATTATAAATAGAATTAGATTTGTTTTAGTTTGTTTCAAAGTAAAATTTATTGAAAAATATAAATAAAGTTTAATTTTTTTTTTTTAAATTATCTAATCTTTGCATCATTTTTTATAACAATTGAAATTAATATTAATTCGATTAAATTTATTCTCATAAAAATATTTACATGAAAATTTCAATGCTCTATTATTACTAGTATATAAGTAATTTTCAGACGAAAAAATACTGATTGAAAAGTTACCATTGAAATTACAAACAGATTTAGCACTTTCAGTTCACTATAATACTCTCAGTAAAGTTCAACTTTTTCAGGTTTTTATTTTTTTTGTTGAATTTTTTTTTTTTTTTTGAATTTATAAAATTTTGTCATACAACAATCAAATTATAATTTTATAAAACAAATAAAAAATTGATTTTTAAAAAAAGCTATTTTCAAGTATTATTATTGTATTTTTTTTTACATCCACATATTTTTATCATTTTTTAAACAGTTATGATAATTTTTTTTTTTTTTTTAAATAAAATTTTGAACATTTTGAAAGGATTGTGATCGAGCATTACTTCGAGAATTAGTGCTTAAACTTCGACCAGTAATTTTTCTTCCCGGTGATATGATTTGTAAAAAAGTAATTTCAACTTTTTGTTTTTTTTTTTCGTTGATATCATTTTAATATGATAATATAAAAAGAAAATTCAACAAAAAAATTGATAATAATTTATTTAATAAGAGATAACTGTTATTCAAAGTTACATGAAAATATAAATTAAACAATTGATTAATTTCTTATTTTATTTATTATCATAAAAATTTTTTTTAAATTTATTTTATTTATTAGCAATAAAATATTAATGATTAATCTATTGATAAAATTTTAAAATAAATTATTAATTCATTTTTTTTTGTTATAATTTCATTTTTTTCCTTTTTTTTTAAAAAAAATAATTCATTTTTTATAATATATATTTAATAACTCATTTTTTTTTTCTAAATATAATAACTAAATAAATTATTTTATTAAATTTTAAGGGTGATGTTGGGAAAGAAATGTATATTGTCAATGATGGAATCCTTCAGGTTGTTGATGATGAAGAAAGTAACAAAGTTTTTGCTGAACTTACTGAAGGATCAGTTTTTGGTGAAATTAGGTTCTTCAAATTAATATCAAATTTTTTTTTTTTTTTTAACTCTTTTAAAATGATATAAATTTATTGTTATTTAGCATAATTCTTTTGTCAAATTATAAATTTTTGTTTTTTTTTTTTTTTAAATTTATTTTAAATTTTACTTTTTTTTTTAAATTCTTATGCAAAATTTTTTCATACTTAATTCTTTAGTTTATTAGCAATCGGTGGTAATAATCGTCGAACAGCAAATATTCGTTCGAAAGGTTATTCAACATTATTTGTTCTCTCAAAAGAAGATTTAAATGATGTTATCAAAGATTATCCAGATGCGCAACAATTGTTAAAAAAAAAAGCTAGGTAATCTTCTCTTTCTTTCTCTCCCTCTCTCTCTCTCTCTCTCCCTCTCCCTCTCCCTTTTTCTTTCCCTCTTTTGTTTGAAATATTTCAATTTATGATTTATATTTGATATATTTCATTTAACAGAAAAAAAAATAAATTGTTGATTTTATTATTAAATAATTTTTATTCATTAATAAATTTTATTTTATTTTATTTTTTTTTTTTTTTTTGCAGAGAAATGTTGAAAAAAGATGAAAAAGTGAAGAAAGAGAAATTTTCAATGCAAAAGAATATATCAACGAATATTAATACAACAAAATTTGTAAATACAGTAATGGAAGTAATTTCATTAAATTCACCAAATGTCAAACGATCAATGTCACCTGGTAAACATTTGAAATGTATTTTAAAAAAAAATTGAAATATATTTTTTTTAAAGAAAAAAACAAAAAAAAAAAACTTTTATTAAAATATATTTAAATTATTTTCCTTCTCAAAATTTTGTTTATTTGCTAATAATTAAATCAAACATATATGTTTATTTTATCAGTTTATATTGCAGAAGATGATAAAACGTCGAAAATGCAACAGAATAATGCAGTAGAAATTGATGAATTTGATAATATGTAATAGAATAATAAATGATTTCAAATGAGTAAAATTTCGATTTTGAATTGTTAAAATGTACTGTAATTAATTTTTATTAATTTTAATAATATAAACTATTTAATAATACATTTTATTTATTCACTTGCTAGAATAAAAGCAGAAATATACAAATTCATTCAAAACATTTGGTAAAAATTATATTAATAATCCATGAGTTATTATAAAAAATAAAATTAAAATAATCTTTTTGTCACAATTAAAACGAAACATTTACAATGTTAATTTTTAGAATGAATTTAAAGTTATATTACATATACATACATACATTCAAATATATCAATGATAAAATGATAAAGGTGATAAAAGTGATTGGAAGAAATGAACAATGTTATTAATTAGAAGTGAAAAAAAAAAATCATGCTTTTGATAAATAGTTATTTTATTTAAGTGGAACTTTTACTGGAGCTGAGAAATTTTTACTTCTTTTTTTTTTTTTTACTTTATATTTAAACCAGTTCTGATCAATGTGATCAAACTTTGATCTCATTTGATTTAAAGTCACTATTTTAATTGGTGGAATGATTTCTATCTACATCTATAAATTATGTAACATTTGAAGAAAAGCATTCAAAAAAAAAAAAATTTTTTTTAAAAATTGGAAAATGATAAATTATAAGATTTACGTAGACAAATGCATCTGTAGAAATTTTTGTTTTGCTTTTCAGTTTCAAAATTCAAAAATTTTTGATGTATTTACTAATACTAAAAAATAAAATAGACGAATATTCGATTTGTAATCCAGATATTTTAATTTCAATTCCATATTATTTCAAAGTATTAAATAAATTGTTCATTTTAATTACTTATTTTTATTGACATGTTGATAAAAATTTTTAAATTTTATTTAGTATTTAAAGTGCAATTTCATTAAAATTAATTCGTACTATCTCTAGTAAAATGTTGCTTAAGTTGCATAAGTTTTGCTAAAGCACGGAAATTTTGAGCATCGTTCAATTGCGCAACCACTTCATCATTTGGTGGTAAGAAACCAGGTGGTGCAGCACCGACTGATAAACTTTGTGGTAAACCTGAGCCCGGTTGTGCAGCACTAACTGATAAATTTGAATCCGGTTGCGCAGCGTTGACTGGTAAACTTTGTGGTAATCCCGGCTGCGCAGCGTTGATTGGTAAACTTTGTGGTAACCCCGGTTGCGCAGCGTTGACTGGTAAACTTTGTGGTAATCCCGGTTGCGCAGCGTTGACTGGTAAACTTTGTGGTAATCCCGGTTGCGCAGCGTTGGCTGGTAAATTTTGTGGCAACCCCGGTTGCGCAGCGTTGACTGGTAAACTTTGTGGTAATCCCGGTTGCGCAGCGTTGACTGGTAAACTTTGTGGTAATCCCGGTTGCGCAGCACTGACTGATAAACTTTGTGGTAAACCTGAGCTCGGTTGCGCAGCACTGACTAATAAATTTTGTGGTAACCTCGGTTGCGCAGCGTTGACTGGTAAACTTTGTGGTAATCCCGGCTGCGCAGCGTTGACTGGTAAACTTTGTGGTAATCCCGGTTGCGCAGCGTTGACTGGTAAACTTTGTGGTAATCCCGGTTGCGCAGCACTGACTGATAAACTTTGTGGTAAACCTGAGCTCGGTTGCGCAGCACTGACTAATAAATTTTGTGGTAACCTCGGTTGCGCAGCGTTGACTGGTAAACTTTGTGGTAATCCCGGCTGCGCAGCGTTGACTGGTAAACTTTGTGGTAATCCCGGTTGCGCAGCGTTGACTGGTAAATTTTGTGGTAACCTCGGTTGCGCAGCGTTGACTGATAAACTTTGTGGTAAACCTGAGCTCGGTTGCGCAGCACTGACTAATAAATTTTGTGGTAACCTCGGTTGCGCAGCGTTGACTGGTAAACTTTGTGGTAATCCCGGTTGCGCAGCACTGACTGATAAACTTTGTGGTAAAACTGGACCTGGTTGCGCAGCACTGACTAATAAATTTTGTGATAACCTCGGTTGCGCAGCGTTGACTGGTAAACTTTGTGGTAATCCCGGTTGCGCAGCACTGACTGATAAACTTTGTGGTAAACCTGAGCTCGGTTGCGCAGCACTGACTAATAAATTTTGTGGTAACTTCGGTTGCGCAGCGTTGACTGGTAAACTTTGTGGTAATCCCGGTTGCGCAGCACTGACTGATAAACTTTGTGGTAAACCTGAGCTCGGTTGCGCAGCACTAACTAATAAATTTTGTGGTAACCTCGGTTGCGCAGCGTTGACTGGTAAACTTTGTGGTAATCCCGGTTGCGCAGCACTGACTGATAAACTTTGTGGTAAAACTGGACCTGGTTGCGCAGCACTGACTAATAAATTTTGTGGTAACCTCGGTTGCGCAGCGTTGACTGGTAAACTTTGTGGTAAAACTGGACCTGGTTGCGCAGCACTGACTAATAAATTTTGTGGTAACCTCGGTTGCGCAGCGTTGACTGGTAAACTTTGTGGTAATCCCGGTTGCGCAGCACTGACTGGTAAACTTTGTGGTAAAACTGGACCTGGTTGCGCAGCACTAACTGATAAACTTAAACTTGGGCCTGGTTGCGCGGCGCTGAGTGATAAAGTTTGTGGTAAACCTGAGTTCGGTTGCGCAATAGGAAGTGACGAGTGCATAGTAAATGGCGGTGAAGTATGAGCCTCTATTGGAGGAGACATCAATTCTGTCACTGAAAAGAAAAAGGAAAGTAAAAACACAGCAAAGGAAACAAATGAAACTGTTTAAAAATATCAAATGACGCATAGAATATGGCGCAAATTTACTTTAGCGACTATTTCCGCAATTACTATGAAATTTTAATTGATTAAAATTTCATTTGTTTCAAAAAAGCATTTCTTGAATTGTCTGACTACTTTTAAATTTAAATTCAATGTAATTTACATTTATTATTCAATTCAACTGATTTAACCTTCATTAATCATGAATTATTTTAATTTTCACTACGATAAAAAACTAAAAGTTAGAAAAAAAAGAGAAAAAAATTTCAGAGTAAACTTAGAATAAGGTTAATTTAGAGAGAAGAACGAAACTGTAGTTTAATTTTTATAGTGAAACTCAAGTGCTGTTAAAATTATTTCAAACTGTCGCAGTCATTTTTTATTTATTTATTTTTTTGATATTATTAAAATTTTGGTATAAAACTTTAATCAACAATGTATAATTCATTCTTTTGGATAAAAAATTTTCCATCAAAATTAATTTATATATCTTTTTAAAGTAATAAGCAGTAAAGAAAAATTTTTTTTTTATTTTGATGGATTTATTATAAAAGCTTTGAGGAATAAATTGATATTATAATAGTAATATACTGATTAGTTTAATGTTTAAAATTTTGATAAGAAGAATGATAACGAACAGTTGATGAAATGATTAATTTTAATTTTTAAAAAGAAATTTACCTGCGGAATTTTGCTTCACATTTTGAAATGTTACATGTTGTGATTGTTGTTCAAATGGTAATACTTTAATAGCACTACTTTTATCATCAAAAATAGCAATTGTTGTTAAAGTTGCAGTCTGTTGATGAAATTCATTGTGATTAATTAATTTTAGTTGTTTACTTTCTAAGTCAAAATTTTTTTCAAATTGTATAAGTGGTGGTTCAGGTGCTTTAGTGGTTGTTAGATGGAGCAAACGACTTGTTGTATTCATTTCTAGAACGAATGGAAGAAGTTGATTTGAGGAATTAAACAATCTGAAACAAACAAAAAAAAAAAATAAGAATTTCTTCTATTTGTTAAAAGAAAAAAAAAAGAGAGGGAGGGAGGGAGAGAGGGAGAGAGAGAGAAAAATAATGTAAAATTAATGATTGAAAAAATTTCACTTAAACCAAAAAAGTATTATGCATTATTCTCGAAATGAATGCGCTTAAACATTATTAAAATTCTATTTATTCTATTTATTTATTTTTCTAAACATTAAAAAATTCTATTAAAATTCTAGTTTTATGTCATATTGACAAAAAAAAAAAAAAATGATTTTAATTTTACGATTTAAAAACTTACATTTTTAAGCATAAATTTGATTTAAAAAAAATGACGAACAAATGAAGAAATTATTTATTTTAAATTATTTATAAATTATTTATTTTCATTCCAATTAATTTAATAAAACTTTTATTCTAAACATAATTTTATTAATAGAATGAAAATATGTTGCAAAAAAAAAAAGAAAAAAATGTTACAACAATAAAGCTAATTGTTTCTGAAATTTTCAATAAAATTTGTGATAAATTCGAAATGCAAATTAAATAAATAAAATAATTAATCTGAAATTAGTAAAAAAATTTCTAATCACTTTTACGGTGTAAGTGGAAGAGTATAAAACTGATTTGAAAAATGATCAAAATGTTGTAAATACCTGAAAGTTACCTATGTCTAAAATTAGACCATTGTAATGGAAGCTGTATTTGTTCCTGATCCGGAATTTTATTCATTTTTCCTGAGAAAGTTTGACCATGTAACTTTCGAAGACGAACAAATTGTGGCTGTTTTGATTTATTTCTCAATGTGATCAATTGAAATTGATCATTGAGTGTGGATGGAGTAGAAATTAATAATGGTTGAGCATTTTTACGTATGTTTCCTCTTCTTTCATTCGTATTCACGTTTTCCACTCTCGTACGTATCGTATTCCTATCAATTTTAAATGGAAATTTCTCGAAACTATTGCTTAAAAATTGTCAACAAAATATGACATCAAAAGCAATAAAAAAAAATGTTTGAATATACTAAAATTTGAAATATCGTAGATAAATTTTACAAAAATTTAAGTACCTCTGAAGTACTTTGCTATTAAAGTTAGCTGTAGCAAAATTTTCTTGAAATTTTTTATTGATTGAAACTGGTTGCTTTGTTACCTGAAATTACATTTTGATAGCTTTCAATTAGCATTAAATTAATTATTTAAAAATTATTAATTTTATTAAGGTTAAATATTTCATTCAATGAATTAAAGTACCTGACCTGACGATTTAATCCAATAATGCGTTGAAAATTACGCAATTGCATTTTTTGTCGTTGAAGCAGTTGACCTGGTTGTTGAGATTGAATGGTACTAAAGAATGAATTTTCATTTTTTTTAAGACCTGGTTGTTGAGATTGAATGGTACTAAAGAATGAATTTTAATTTTTTTTTAAGACCTGGTTGTTGAGATTGGATGGTACTTTCAATCTTTTTTAAAATTAAAATTGACTTTCTTTCAGATATTCAAGTGCTATTTTCCTGTTTTGTATTTGTGAATTGAAATGAAATGCATTTTAAAAAGTAACAATTAATCGCTTTTTTTTCTTTTCTTTTTTTTTTTTGAATTCTATAAAAAATATTAGAATTCAATAAATTGTAACAAAAAAAAAATTTTTTTTTGCAAATTTTTTTTTAGAATATTCATGCAAACAATAAATTAAAATTTTGCAACTATGAATTACCAAAGATAATGAATGAGTAATTAGTGGAACAAAAATTTAATATGAAAAATGTTAATAGCATTTTTTTTGAAAAATTACAATAATTTAAAAAAAAAAAATGATTATTTGCTAATTTTTTCATTTTTATGAAAAATTTTCCAAATTTAAATTATCGATAATTCACTGATAATGATAATGATTGCTTGATCAATGATAGCGACAAAATAATCAAAAGCAAATATGCAAAGAAAATAATTAATTGAGCAAAAAAATATATTTAAATAATTAATGATAGGTTATTTACCTATTTCTGTTGACTGGACTTCGTGGATTTAAGGATATAATTGATGGTATGCGAATAGTCTAAAAATAATTTTCATTTTATAATTAAAAGCTTCTGATGATATTAATTAATTAATTAGTTTTTTTTTTAGCAAAAATTACAAAGTTTAAAAATGATACTTCTAAATTCAGCTTAATTCATTGATTGCACTCTAAGATATTAAACTTTACTTCTTATAGTTTGCTTAATTTACTTCTTACTTCTTAAAGTTAAATTTTACTTAAATACGTAGCATCTAATATAGTTACCATGAAAGATTTTCAGATATTAAAAAAAGAAAAAACTTTGTTTTTTTTTTTTAAATGATCTAATAAAATGCTATTTTCAGATTTTAATCCAATACTTCATTAATACTAATTATTTGCAAATTTTAATAATACCTAAAATTTCACTGAAATATTTTGAAACGGTTATACAACTGAAAAGTTCAATTATTTCAACCGGAAGTAAAATTAAAAAGTAACAAAGAAATTTTTTATAAAAATTTTTCATTCCAAACAGAATTAATAATCTTTGTACTAAAATAAAATAATATTAATGTAATGCCAATTGATATGTTTTGTCTATAATTTTTATAAAAATTTTTTTATCTTAATTAATTAGTTTTTTTTTTTCCATCTTTCATTTTTTTTTGTTTTTGTTTTTGGGTTTTTTTTTTTTAATGCAATTATTTGGAATGAAATTGTATGTAATTGAATAAATCTCATTTAAATAAATGAATTGCGGAATGATTACGGAACCGGCATTAACTGTCGTTGCTCTGCGGTTTTACGCACAAATAATGTTGACAACAATACTGTTGACAATATCATTAGTTTTTCAATTGCCATTTTCATCGGAATTGCAGCAATTAAAAGTAACGATAATTTGATTTTAAAGACTTTCACAAATTCATTGTTTCGTACTCTGGAAATTAACACTGATAAGAATGATAATATGTATATGAAAACATAATTGTGTTAATGATTATCATTAAAGAAAAAAAAAGAAAAGCAATGAATCTCTCTTTTAATAATTGAACCTATGAAGAGAAGATTTTAATAATTCTCGACTTTTGAAATAATTCTCGATGCCTGATATTTAATGTAATATAATAGTGAAAAATATTATGGATAATTTTTAAAATTTAAACAATAGGTTCAATTACTAAGAAATTTAAATCATTTAAAAATTTTTTTAAAAAAAAAACATTTAAAATTTTTACATCTCTTTTTCTGGTAAAAGATTGAAATTCTTGAGAACTTCATATTAAGAAAGTAAATGGTCAAACATAAAGTAAGCATTGAAATTATCATATTTTAGTGTAATTTATGTAATTTTTACATTCATTTTTAATTCATATAATTATTATATTTTTATTAAACTCATTTTGAAAAGTGTAATCTGACATATCCTAAATATGCTTAAATAAATTTCTTTTTTTTTTTTTAAAAAAATTTCGATATGTGTTAAATTAATGCAAAATAATTTGTGTTGAACTGATAAAATCAAATCAAATTGATAAATAAAAGAAAATTGATAAAATTTTAAAAAAAGTAGCAGTTTATTTTGCTGAGAAAAATTAAAAAAAGAAATAAATTTCACTTATCAAATATATGAAAATAATATATCCTTCAAAAATTTAGCAATTTTTGATTAATTTAAAAAAAATCATTTGTTTAAAAAATAAAAAAAAAATTTTTTTTTTGTTTACAATTATTTACAATTGTTTACAGTTAGTATTTTAAAAGTGATATGAGAAAGATGGTAAAATTTATAAAATTAAAAAATGGTATTTAATGAGAGATGAAAATTAGTAAAAAAAAAAAAAAAAAAAACTTGTTCATTACTAACTAACATTTAGTTATTTAAACCATTTATATGATTTATAAATTAAATTGAAAGGACATATGTTTTTAATCAAATATACTGCAATATTTGAAGAGTAACATTTGTTTGATTGCAAGCTAAAACATGCTTAAAAGTAATCGTTTAGCAAAAAAAACAAAAAACAAAACAAAAAATAAAAAAAAAAAAAAAAAAAGGAAAGAAAGCAGTTATTTGCTCTTTATCAAGCTTTGTTGAAATTGTTGAAAAATTTTTCGTATTTAATTAAAAATGCCATCATTTATGTTAAAAATATTTTTCTCTCTGTGTGTGTGTATGTTTATTCATTAACTTTTAAAGTTTTTAGCTCAATCATTTATAAAATAAATTTCTTTTCTTTTCTTTTTTTTTTTGTACTATTTAGATTTTAAAATTAAAAAAAAAAAGTTTAGCATGATTTTTGAAATTTTATTTTTTTTGAGATATTTGAAGAGAGTATTGTGAAGCTATTGAAATGATTACAATTAGAATAAAGTGATAGTGATAATAATAGCAATAATCACAGTAATGATAACTATTATGATGATAACGATTATTATGATGATCACTGAATAGGAAAAAATATATTAGTAATTGATGAAAGTATATAATCGAATTACAAAAAATTATACTATGAAAAAAATAAATTTACTGGCAGATGAAAACATAGGATGAATTGATTGACTGATAAGATTGAACTGATAAGATTTGATCGATTGATTGATAGATAATGGAGGGAAGATAAGTTCAGATCAAGTATATGTGTAACATATCATAACTATCACCAAATGGCTTATCCTAAGATCAATATTATTCATCAGTGATTGTCATTGTCACTGATTATCATTATCATTTAATTATTGCTTGTTGATATATAATACTGTAAAAGAAATTACTGAATATAAAGTATGAAATGAAGTATCCTTGCTAAAATTATCACTGATATTATCAATTGTTAAAAGATACTGTAATCATTTGCTTTCCTATCTTTTTATTTTTAATTTTTTTTTTTTTTTTGCAAACCGGAAAATGAAATTATTATGGAATTACTGAAATGATAAATTTAAGTGAAATGGTTGACGGTGAAAAAAATGCACAAATACATATGAAAGAGAATTAAGCAAACAGAAAGGTTACGTCAAGCGAAATTTACGTCAAACGGAAAACGCTTTGTACGTAATCTCATCGTAAATGTGATAAAACAGTAACAATTAGTTATTTTCCTAAAGTAAGACAAAATTGTTCAGTTTTTCCGGTATTATACATCAGAATTAACTATCAATTAATCAATTGTTTGAATAATAATAATAATAATAATAATAAAATGACAAGGACAGAAGAATAATTTATGAAATATACGATATCATTTAAATTTTATTTGATATTCCTCACAATTAGTTATATTCATTACTTTTTATAAAAAATTAATTTGCCAATAATATTTACCTTTTATTTCACATAATATTATGATAATCAAATGATAAGAAAATCATAATTACTAATTAATTAATTAATTACTAATTAATGTATTATGAGTAATAGAAACAGTTAAATGCATGAATTATTAGCATGAAAATTTAATGAATTACAATTAATTGCTATGACAAATAGTGCAAGAATAAATAAAATTTATTTATTAATTTGAATTTCTTTTTGGATATAAAAAAGTTAACAGAAATATTAATTACAAATTGCTGATTTGCTACTAATTTCTTTAACTATCAATCAATGTGTTATATGCTTGTTAACGATTTTACTACTATTCTTTGTTTACCATTTAAACTTAAATTAAAATGTGTAAATATGAAAATAATTATATTTGTCATGTTTTTTTTTTTTTTTTTTTATAACATATTAAATTATTTGAAAGAATCTTTAAATTAAAATTTTTTTAAATTGTTAAAATTTTCAAATTTTTTTTTTCAAAATATTTCACTTTTTTTCTACGAAATAGACATTATGGATAAATAGAAAATATCATTTCAATATGACTTTCTCAAGAAAAAAAAAAAAACAAGTATATGAAACTAAAATTTCAAACAAAACTCAACCTAACATTTTCAAATTTATTAATTAATTAATTACACAACTTTTCTAATCAACATTACTCCTGTTCCATCATCAATAACAAGTGATAAAATGAATTTTGATTATTGAAAATTACCTGCTAAATTTACCTACCTGTAAAATATTATTATTCAATGCTAAGCATTCTCCCATGTTAGCTAGCTAACTATAAGCTGTAAATATAAAACTGGGTTTTGCAAATGCTTTAACAACTGGATCATTTCATTTAATTTATTACAACATTTTAAAATGTTGCCAATGTTAATGTGATTTGAACATACGCATACGCATTTTGTTCCGATAAGCAAAATGCAAAAAAAAAAAAAATTTAAGCATAATTTGAAACCGGATTTGAAAATGTAGAAATTTAGTCAACAATTTAATTGTTCATTGAAACGATAAACTTTTGAGGAAGTGAAAAAAAAAAAATAAAATGAAATAAAACTGAGATGATAGTACTAGACTACTTACTATCAACATCTCATTTCATTTCTTTTAGGATTCATTAACTGTACAATGTTCTGTTGAGCTCAAGTTATTATGAAAAAAAAAGAGAGAAAAAACTGGTTTAAAAATGATAATTAATGATAATTTAGACAAAAATTAATTTTACAGTAATACTAATTTTTTAAAAAATTTTACTCTGAACAAATTTAGTAAGTTGAAAAGAAAGCGGAAAAAAGATGAAATGAAATCATTTATGCACAATGTTTTATGTTCCAAACACTATAAGTTTTAATTTCTCATTTTCTTTTTTTTTTTTGGAAAAAAAAACTTTACGACTTAATGGATCATTCTTTTTCACTTTCAATAGCAAATAAGTTATTACTGAATGAAGAATACTTGAAATATCACAATTTTCATTTAATTATTTCCTGTCTGGTTTATTTGTAGTAATGATAAAGTCAATAAATTATGAATGAAATATTTATTAATTTAAGAAATTAACTATTCCTTTTTTGCATAATGCATTCAATATAAAATTTGATAAATGAAAAAAAAAAAAACTTCAATTAAATGCAAAAAGTAAGAAAAGAGAAAAAAAGTGGAATATAATATAAAGCATTGATTTTGTGCACTTTTTTTTAAACAAATAAAAAAATAAAACAAAAACAAAACAAATGGAAAAAGAAAGAATGAAAGAAACACATTTCATTGTAACTAATTCAAATTTTTTTTTGACAATAAGAAGAGATTTAGAAAAAATATTATGTGACGTTATTAGATGATAGTATCCTTTGTTAAGTAATTTTATCTACCAAAATGATTCATATTGATAATGACTCATATTTTAAATGTTATCAATTGAAGTAGCTATTTTTTACATTTACTGAAAACTTTTCCTCTAACATTCGAAAGGCAATGATTAATATTTGAAAGTTACCTGATGAATATCATAAAATAATAGCAAAGGTAAAATTTGCATATTGGAAGAGAGGAGTAATAAATTACAAAATACAATAATATAAATTACCAATGGTAATTGAAACATTGATATTTCCTTGAGATCAAAGTAATCTTCTGGTTATTTACTTTTGTTGAGAAGTGCATCTTACACAAACTGTATATTGGATTGATTGCATTTGAATTTGACTGCAAACTTATTTTCAATTTATTGTTGAAATTTTTTCTTCTTTCTTTTTTCATCTGAAAATCGAATTAATTTGCATCAAACATCGGAAGAGATTTCAAATAAAATAAGCTGTTGTTATGAATTTAAATTGTTATGAATTTAATTTAAAGTTCATAAAAAAAAAAAAAAAAAACTAATGGTAATTGAATCAAAAGGTTTCAGAGCTATTTTGACATTTTTCTCTCTTTTTTTTTTCGTTTCAAATATATGCAATTTAAATGAGTTATTGTATGTTCAGTGAGTAACTATAATAAAATATGTGTTATTGTTATCTTATCAAAATTTTTTTTAAATGCAATAAATTGTAACAGTGCTATTATGAACTTAAGTTTTCTCATTTTGTTTCGCGACAATGAACTGAATCAGTGGTGAAAAAGACGATGGAAACAATTGGACAATTTTGCTTTTAATTCATTTTCATTGCTAATTTAAATATATGTATGTATATGTGGAATTCTATTCAATTTGCCAATAATAATAATAATAAACACAAATATACCTTGCAAAGAGAACTTCATTATTGAAAAAACTAAGATAAATGACACAATTCATTTTCTTTCAGCATGATAATTGATGTCCTTTGAAAGAAAAAAAAAAAAAGAAATAAGTGATAACCTTTGGAAGGAAGCGGAACGGATATTAGAATGAAAGAAAAAAAAAAAAGAGAAAAGAGAAGACAATTTACAAGTAAAAGGAGGAGCAAGGTTTAATAAAATCAATTAGGGCTTCAATTGTAAGGTAATCCTTTTTTTTTTTCTTTTTTTTTGCTTTCACTGATTACCCTATTTATGAAATGCTTTCTTAAAGAAAAGAGAAATTTTAACTTTTTAACTTTCTTATGCAATTTCTGAAATAATTTCATAAAGGATAGCATTTTTGTTAAACAAATTAGCAAAATCAAAATAAAGCTATATTTAAATTTGATAAAATTTTACGGAGAAGAGAAAAATCAAAAGCCAAGCCATATTCCAAGAAAAAACCTTGCGTAGAAGATTTAAAGCTTCAATCTCCAACATACTGGAAATAATTTTTACAAATCTATGAAGTGACAGGATATCATAGCAAAAATGAAAAAATTAATGAAAAAAAAAAAAAAATGAAGGCAAGAAATATTCTGAGATAAGGCGTTGATCATTTACAATAACTACATGATATTTGTTAATCAAATATGAAAGTTTTAGCAGAATTTCGAATAATAAATGTACAAAAAGTACAATTCTTACATAGAAATAAACTGGAATTAAGATTTCAAAATAATCTTTCAGCGTTTCAATAGTGAACTTATACAAATGATACAAAAAGTGTAACAATTTCAGAGGAATGAAGCAGTAAAGATTTTGTCCGAAACAAAAAAAAAAAAATTAACAAATTTCGAAGTGTTAAAAATTTTTAAATTTCATATTGATGAGATTTTCTTTAAAATGCTTCACCAAATTTTTTGTTTTCTAACAAAAATGGGAGGGTAATGATATATGTACAATGATAATAATTAATCAAAAGTAAGATGAATAATATAAAAAATAAGGCACAAATTAATCTAAGCAGTATCTCAACAACAAAAAGCACTACATATAAACATTTAAGACAACTAAGTTGCATATAAACTGAGAATACAACATTTTGTTAAAAACACCATATTTATTTTGGACCAAAAGAATACAACCACAGTCATTACATAAGCCATGAGCATATGTTAAAAAGATGGCAAATATATCATTTTTAAAGATCAGTAATATAGAGAAGTTATTTTGAATGCAGTAATTTGTTATTTCATTAAGCAAAATTATTCACAAAAAAAAAAAAAAAAATCGAATGGGAATTTTTTAATTTTCTTGAAACCAGAAAATTAATGACTTCTAAAATAAAACAGTTGTATTTTGAGTAGATAAAATCTAGCCACACGCAGTGTGTTACACAGGATTACATGAATTCATGAATGGTAAGTTTTTACCGGTGAAACTGGTTTAAAAACAAGAATTTTAAAAATTTATCAACTTAATTTTTCGAATTAAACACAGAAATCTTTTTCAGCAATTGCACTTAGATTTTGTGCTAAAGAGACTTTTAGGAAATTTTTTTTCTTCTTTTTACATCAATAAATAAATAACGAGATAAAAGATCCAAAAGAAAAATATCTCTCTAATGATTAAACTTGATTTGGTTTCATTGTTGGTCTTGGTAGCGAAATAGCTCTTCGATCTGATTTCGGCGTTCCCAAAGTGCTTGTGCTACATGATGATGCTAATACGCCATTCATCAAATACTTCAAGCAAATAACTTCCCGACGGGCAAAACAAGTTATGTAAATCCAGTCATCCTGAAAAACAAATAAAAATAACAAATATATTCGTTGTTACTTTAACTAATTTGGATAAAAGTCATAAATTATCCAGTAATTTTGAAGAACTCAATTACTTTTGATACAATTCACACATACAAAAAGAAAAAAAAAAAATAATAACCAACTTACATGAACAGTAATTCCAAGAGCTTCTTGGGGACCCAATGCGATAGGAATAACAATTTCTTTTATATGACGCATTCCTTTCGTACTGCCCAATAATGCCCATAAACGACTAGTAGCATAGTCAAGAACCAACAAATTTCCAAGCTAAAAAAGAAAAAAAAATTGAATGCATACAAACTTACCAAATTCAAAGATAAATAAACCAAAACAGTAGCTTTATGAATATTTTGTATAAATAATCGCAGCTAGAATGTAGAAGTATCACTTATTACACGGATAAATAATATACGTACTAACTTACTGAATCGACAACAGCACTAGCTGGATTTTTTATATATTCATAGAGTTTGTATGTTTTCGTTAAATCATATTCGTTGATTAATGTACCAGTATGATCCACTACGAACAGTAATATACGGTTTTGAGCTGCGTCACATGTTAGTAGTACTACAGCTCTGAAAATAAACCCATTTAATATTTTAAAGAAAGAAAAAGATCAAAAAAAAAAAAAAAAAATTTGAATGCAATAAGCATCACTCTCCTAAAGCAATTCTGTTATCAATCAAGTCACCAGAAATATGTTGAGCTAGACTACATACTTTTTATGCAAATAAAAGGATATGATTGATTAACGAACTTCAAAACAATCAAAAATCTTAGTGAATTCTGAACCAATTTGTTTTTTAAATTCTTCTTTCCATTAGGAAAAATTTGAAAACAAACTTGTATTCAGCTTGATCTTCGGCCACTCGAAGATATTGATATCGAGTTTTTCTCGATTCCTTTAAGATCTTCCATCCCTCAAGAAGGAAATGAAGATAAGATGAAGAATTTTGGCAATTTTTAAGTAGTGAAGAATACATTAAAATAGTCATTCAAAAAATGTTAAAAAGGCTAACCTTTCTGGATTGATTATACATCCATATTGCTGATCGATGATTGTCTCCGGAAACTGCAAATAATTCACCACGTGGACTCACTGTTATCCATCTCGTCCTGCTCAACTCAATCTTTGGTTCTCTAGGACAAGGAATTACCTAAGAAGAAGGAAATTAAATGAATACTATATATATATATATAGTCACACAAGTTCAGAGGAGAATTGGACAAATCCAGTTAACATGACAAAGGTTTTAGAATTTCAAGTTTCAAACGTAAACTGTTAAAAAGTTTTCTCAGATATTTAAATTTCCAAGAAACAGAATTTATATGAAGAAAACTTCACCTCAACTTTTTTGAAACGATCTGTAATATCAAATACATGTATGCTTCGTCCTTTGCTATGCATCACGCTAACTAGAAGATGCCAATTTGTCGGATCAATGGTCAGTGATGATGCCGAACAGTCCCGTATTGGCAAATGTTGCAACACTTCTCCTTTACATGTCACTATATATACACCTGGAATGAAAATTTCCGAATCTCAAAGCACAGCACTGACAGTGTATATTAAAAAAAAAAAAAAACTTTTTAAACATTATCATAGTTTCAAAAATAAAGATTTAGTAAGAGAACAACAGAAATTATGCACCGAGATCACTGAAATAAAATTTGAGATTTCAAGTGAAGTCCAAGTCTAGTGTATCACTGTTAATCACTAATCTTGTTTAAAAGAAAAAAGAAACAAGTCAAATACGTCAATAATATGAATAATTTTTCGAAAAGATACCTCCACAACTATCAGATACAGCCAGCAGTTGTTTTTTGGTAAAAATATTGGGTAAAGATATAATATCAATTGGTCGTGAAAACAATCGTCCACCGAAACGCATGAAACTTCGTTCTGTTTGCAAATTTCCTAATGTAACAGTAGTTGTTGACGTTGATGGATCACAACTAGATATCGTCTGCTCAAATAGTGGAGCTTGTAACTGTAAAATAAAAAAAAAAAGAGAAGTGTTTTAAAATCAAAGTTCTTCGAAAACTGTGAAAGATTATCCAAAAATAAAATTCATAGATAGACTTAGTAACACTCAAAAAATTAAAGAACTAAAGACTATTAAAGAGAACTGAGTAGAAGAAAATAAGCAATCCTAAAGTTCATCTCTACTTTTTATTCAACAATGTCAAAAAGTAAAATCAAAAAGTTTTATTTTCACCTCTCTCTTTCGTAGATTTATGTGTTCTTTTTTATCTTTCAAAATCAAAACCTGATATGATGCAATGCATTATGATTGTTACAACAATAAAAAAATTAAAAAATCAAACAGTTTAGTGATAAAACCAACATCATGACTATCGTATGAGCTATCCGTCTGGCACACAGGGATAGAAGATGTTGCCGAAGGACTTGTCGAACTGAAAATATATTATAAAAAGACAAAAATACAACCTAAATCTTAGTTGATTCTCGCATCTACTTAGTTTGATTCTCGAACGTTTTTGCTTTTCGATCTTGGAAAGCCTTAAAATATGGATCAAATGGATAAACAAAAATTGAAGATGACAATAAATGAGAAAAGAATGAATAAGCAATATACATTACTTGAAAGGTTCTTCTTTCAAAGCACAAGCTGAATCTGATTCATCGGTGAGAGATGAATTTCGAAATGACTGCTGCTTCACTTCACGAACCTCAAATGCAAAAACGAAAAGATTTGGATGAAGAAAGTAAATAAATGAACAAAGTTAGAAAAATAAAAAAAATTTGTTAACAAAAAACTGCAATAAAATAAAATTATGGTTACGTTAATAAAACGAAAAAGATAAAAGGAAAGTAAGATAAATCAAAATAGAAATGAAAAATATATTAGTCGAAATAATGAGAACATGAAATACAAATAGATTAAATAAATGGAATACAGACTGTGTGAAAATTCAGATGCGAATTTCTTTGACTTCAACAACTTACAAGAACACTTGGTTCAAGCGGTATTTGTGTCCTGGTATCATCAGCAGACATCTGTCTATTTAATATTTTGTCAGAAGTCAATTTTTCTTTAGCTAATTCACTGAATGGTCTTGAACTAATCGATGAATTATCTTTCAAGCGGTTTGTAGCAGCATCTGAAGAAACAAGTGTCGGAAGTGAAGATGTTGACCGTTGTTCCAGTGTTAGTGATGTTGATTTCATCAGTGAAAAGCTGAAAATAAAAAGTAAAAAAGAAGAGGAATATTTCGACAACTGTGAAATTAATTAAAATTTTAATTATTTTCCTTCCAACTAAAAATAGAACTATAAAAGGCTTAAGTATAAAAGGTTACAGATTACCAATACTATTTTCTTTATTCTTCAAAGGAATTTTATTTCAACTAAATTTTCAACATACATTATTTGCCTAAATTTGTAATCTCTTCAGAAACGAACAAATTTCTGCTACACAATTTAACTCAACATAATAACGCAAATTTTTCCTTATATCAAGTAAAAAAAAAAAGTGGTGAAGAACTCTTCTTACTCATAAACTATAGAAATCTGTATGAAACTTGAACTGAATTTCAATTAATACAATTTAAACCGACACTTCGGATTGAACAGTGATTTGGAAAAGAACGATTTACCCATTTTTCATGCTACGATAACTGCCGAAATGTCGTGCTCGTCGTTCAGATAGTATATCATTTGCTACTTCTTGTTTTTCAATCAAGTATTTAGCACAGTCAGCAGCACTCCATGCTGATGGTAGTGCAGCGCTAAATTTTACTTGACATGAATTCTGTTCCTAAAAAAAGTAAACTTTCTTGACAAACTCAAAATGCAAATTTTTTGCTCCATTACCTTTGTTTCATTTTTCATTGTTTTTTTTTTCCTACTTATTTTTCTTTTCTTTTTCATTGCTTACCTTTTTAATTACTGAAAAATTTTTACTTCTTCTTCAAAGAACTTAGTAAAAACATTAAAGCTCCAAAACAAAAAAGTTTTTCAAGAATGAAAATAACTCACGTCTCCATTATCGCATGTAATATTGGCCATACGACAAACTTCAGAAATCAAATCCTTCAAACTAAAAAAAAAATCTAGCAATAATACTTGCAATTTGAAGTCGGAATTGGCATTAATATGGCAGACAAAATTGAAATTTAAGTCAATGTCTATACAAAAATTTATTTGTTAATAAAATTAACAAATAGCAACCGTAACTAACCGTTCAGGATCCTTGGTACACATAGTCCAAACTTGATGAGCTGGCCTGGTGGGCGACAACATATGATAAAGCGGTCGACTGAGCACCGACGAATTACTATCTCCCAACTCGCATAAAGCCTAAACAGACGGAAATTCTATTCCGAATTTTGCGAATGAATTCTATTTCCGCATAGAATATAAGTTACAAAGGGACTCAATTATATTTTTTATAAGTCCTCTCTATTTTACAAATAATATATAAAAGAATCTTCCATTAGTTTTTTTTTTTTTTTTCAGCCAGTCTTCGTAAATATGATATTGTAGGATGGATTATTATTATCGTATTAAGATTATCATATTTCATCTACTGAAACAATATTTCAAATTTTTTATTCAATTTTATGCCAGCAATAAATTTAAAGTGGTCCTTTGATAGCACAGTCAATTTCTTTTAGAAAATCTCTACGGATACTGGATCCAAAAAAAGTCACGCTGCACCAATCTCGTCATTAAAAGTCGATTTAAATTATAAACTTACTAGACTAATATTTTAAGTTAATGACTATACAAAAATTTATTTGACTAATGGCGTCGAATTATTGTACCCTAAATCCAAAATTGAAATCTGAAAAGCGATGCCCATAATCTATGAGAAGCCAATATTTTTGATATGCTGCTCGCTTAAAGAACATATGTTTATTCTAATCTAGCAACTAGAATTTCGGTAATTTTTCACAAAAAACTAACTGAATTGATTTTGAATAGAATTTTTATATAAGTATTATATCCGTCTCAATGTTTATGAGAAATTTTTCCAAGTATTACAATATACGCTATAGTGTAATAATAAATGAATTAAAATTTAACTCTTAACTCGTTGATCTCCAAACGCTGCAATGTTTTCAGTTAAAGACTAGTGATTCAAATTAGACGGCAAATCATGTCAGCTTCTTATTAACAAGAAAACAATCACTACGAAATAAATTAAATTGAAAATAACGAACTCTGTTCAGCCTCGAAATAAGCAAACGATCCGGTTCATTCAGTTCTTCAAGACGTTTTCGAAGGAGATCAACCAAATGACATTCTAACTAAAATTAAAATTAGAATGTTTACTTTCTAGGAAAAAGCAATTTAAATAAAAATTAAAAACTTAATGCTTTGAATGTCTCATTAATGAGATACAACATTTCCCTTGCATCTTACTAATTACTAATGTGGTAGGAATTATTAATGTTTCTTTTTTTCATATCTAAATTTAACACATCTAGATAACCATAACAGAAGTTTTAAATTTTTTTCAATAGTTGTAACATATTGCAATCTTTAAAAATCATTTATTATCTAAAATTATTCTTTTCTCTCTTTTTCTTCCCATTTAGTACATCTATCATTATGACTAGCGAAATTTATTTTGAATATTTATGAACTCATACAAATTATATTTGATGTCATACTATTTCAGTTCTTCACTAAATTGATTGCCCATTTGATTTAGCAGAAAAAAAAAAAGTGCGCTAAAACCAAAAACTCTTGATCATTACAAATGGCAAATAAATGCATGAACACGATTCTATTTCAGAATTTGATTTTTCACGAAAAAAAAAAAAAAACAAAAAAGAAACAAAAAATGGTTGTTGTTTAAAAACTATTCTAGAAAAGAGTTATACGAACAGTAGCAGTGAATTCACGTATTTGAATTTCAAATTCTTTGGCAACATTTGATCGTGTAGAGCATCTACCCTCTAATGCTTGCATTGTTGAACGGTATAACTCTTGTCGATTCCATTTACCACTTCGATGTTCCGTATGTCCATTCATCAGATGACAAACACTAAAAAAGAAAACAGTTCAAATCTGGTTAAAGAAATATCAATAAGCATTAAATGAAATTAATTTTCATTTGACTTTAAAATTTCTACCAAAATATTCTATCTCAAATTAGCATAGCAGTGTGTAGAGAAGATGAAGAAATAGTTTTACTTCAATTACTCAATAAAGTCATAGTAATTTTAAAAGAAATTGCCCTTATACTAACAAGATTAAGTGATCAAATTGATTAACACAACTGAGATATACAAAAAATAAGGTCAAATGAAAGAATGACAAGTAATCCACTGTTCAAATTCTGGAAAGCGCTAATATAAAAGGGAGTCTAAAACTAATTTCTTGTTCATTTCATGAAGGCATGAATCTCTACGAAAACATAATCTTCTTCCTATGCTCAAAAATTATTCATGTAATGTTTACAAGAATTTTGCTTTTGAGACTCAAATATTGGAAATTAAATTTTCTTCGAAAAAAACTTTTCGCGAGAAATATTTGAATATAAATCCAATAGAGTAGCTAACAGAGAAATATTCTTTTAAAAAAGTCAATTTAACAGTAATACGAACCGATGACAGTAATTAAGATGCTTCTCTCCAAAAAAAAAAAAAAAAAGTTTGAAAATTCTTTCCTTTTTTATATTCACTTTGGCTTTATTTTACGCCAATGAATTTGATAAATTTTAGTCTTCCTGTGCTAATTTACAGATCAAAAGTGAGACTAAAGTTTAGAGACCAAGTGTAAATCCTTAAAAGTAAATAGAGAAAAGAATAGACAGAGAAGCGGAAAAATGAGAAAACGAAGAAAGGATGAGAATAGTTGGCGATAAAAAATAAATATAATGAACAGTGATGAAGAATGCTTATTTGCTTTTTATAAACTAAAAAAAAAAGCAGCAAGCAATGTTAGACTATATAAGCTTAGACTTTGAGCCATTTTTTGTTCCTCAATTCATTGACTCTTCATTTTTTCCAACTCATCGCCTCGAATCTGTGTGGTTGAGGTATCAGATTTAATTTTTCTCTTCGCTTCTTTCAATTCAGCATTCTTTCTATCCGTTATAAAAACCATCATCATCTGTGTGGCTCTAATTGAAATTCACAAAGTGCTGTGCAAAATTTTTTGATTAAAATTTCGTTTTCATTTTGAAGTTTTAATTAGTTTTAGATTTTTTTTTTTTTTTTTAGATAATTCTCATCTTTTCTACAACTCATCTTTCAATGCTTTTTTTTAGTAATCAAAAAGAAACAAAAATTTCACATAGTATTTAATAAACCTGTCTGTAATTTGAATAAATTACTCTTTAAAAATTAGTTTCATAGAATCTATCATACTGGTCTAGGGTCAGGTATAATAAAAAGGAAATTAGAATTAAAAAAATTAAGATATCTTGTCTAATAGGCTTGCTAAGCACTCATTTATGATGTATAGCAAAATTTATGATTAGCTGCATCAATGATTCGATGAATAAATAGTAGATATATTTAGTGTTTTTATTTCCAACATTAGTATATAGTAATTTTCAGTACATAAAAGAAAAGATGGTTTGAATAGAAAGTAAAGAGTTGAAATAACAAATCTATCAAAAAAAAAAAAAAATGTTAATTAAATTTATTCAAAAAAATAAAAAAAAAAAGTGGTCAAATATTCTCCTTCTAAACGAAGATGAAAGTTTTAAAACAAAGATGATATAATGAAACAGAAAAGTACAAATTCGTGGGACAAAATGAAGAACTAAATTAAGAAGGAACAATTCTTTCATAGAGAGCTTAAATGCTAACATTGTTACATCGTCACTAGTAATATTCACAAGTTTTACACTTTCATTTTGCATTCATAATGCATAACACTCTTACTCTTTCATGTTTGCAGTTTAGCAAATAAGATATCACAATCTCACTAAATTATCAAATCTATTTTGACCTTATTAAAAGTTATTTTTTTGCTATGTTGATTTTCAAACTATCCTTCTTACTAAATATACCATTACCTCTGATCTTTAAAAGAACATAATTTGATATTTACTGAACAGGATTTCATAGAACTATCATTTAATACAGTGCTTCCTCTCAAATATAACAGAACTAAATATCGAATCTTTATTGTTAAAATGAAATTTCAGTTTGACAAAAATTTCGACTACTTCTGATGTTTTGTTTCATTACTATTACCAATGTTTGTAAATGAGTGTGAATAAAAAAAAAGGCTTCCGAATAGTGAAGAATAATTATTTAACAACTAAAAATTTACGCTATATTCTTTGTTTTCATTCTTCTCTTTCCGTGCTTAAGCAAGCAAAATGAAGACCGATTTTAAAGGCTTTATTAATTCATTTAAGTGATTATTCAATGAAATTAAAAAGAATCTGTACTTTTGTCAACACATTTACGGGAGGCAAAGCAGATGTTTTCGTGAACTAAGCACAAATGATGAGTTTGGGGGGGAGGGTGGGGAGGGGGAAAAAGCAAAAGGATATGGTTAGCGACAGCAGGACATAAACGATCATTTTATGTGACAAGAGGCCTGTCCGTCACCCATCCATCTTTTCCAACCAAAAATCCTATTTATTTGAAATATGGCTGAGGAAGTGCTAACACTGTTATACTAATATCAAAGGTTGTGCTAATATTCTTCAAACCTTTTTTGTTTTTTCCTTTTTCCTTTTTTTTTTCTATCTACTCTTCATTAAATAAGTCGTAGAAAATTATACTTACTTACCAAGTGAAATTATAAGGAATAAAATGACTAATAAGTAAAAAATCTATTTGTACATAAATGAGCTATCTTTGAAGTGTAAATTTAATTTAATCTTCATGTAAAAATAATAGTAAAAACTGCAACATATCTGATAAAATATTCTTGTAAAGTTAATAACCTGAATATACAATTCGAAAAAGATATCCATTAAAGAAAATTGAATGGAGATTTCTTTAATCTTTAAAATATATGCAAGATTTAAATACTAATCTATCGATTAATTTTAGCACCTCTAAACAGAGGATTATAACTAAAATTGATTTGCATATCTTCGCTACTTTTTCTTTTTCTTTTAATGCTATGATCCAACACTCTGCTTAATTCTTAAATGGAAGTATTTACAATTAAGATCAATTAATTGCCTTCATATGCTTTAAGATAATTTGCCCGATTATTTTGATTATAGCATTGTTGTTGTTGCATTTGCGTTATGATATAATTTCAATTCTGGAAAGTAGAAAGAAAGTAATGAAAGAATATGTGAATTTTTTATTCAGTGTAAATATAAGTTAATTATACTAATCACTGACGTATAATTTAATGTTTGCCATTAATTAAATTTATTCAAATTTAAATATTTCTCCAATCTTTTTATCTTACTCTGTTCATTATTCTACTACCCATAAAAACTATCTTTCTGTGAACACTAAAACAAAAAAAAAAAACGATCATAAGTACAACTTTTTATTTCTTTTAGCTCAAATAAATATTTTCCTTTTCAATAAATTGCTAACATCACCATAACTTATCTCAAAGCTATCAACAAATTTTTCCTAATTAACTTGAATGAAGCGAGGAGCCAGTTTAATCTATGTACAACTCTTAGTTGTAATGAACCTTTTCATCAATAAAAAAAAAAATAAATTTTATAAGTGCTATGAATTTTTCTTGAAATTCTAAAGTACTGTCCCTAAAGTAAGGTAACGAATGATAGATCACCTCCTGATAAGGAAAAAAAAATTAATTTTTTTGTCAGCATAGAAGAAGAAATTTGTTCTATATTACAGATGTGCTATAATAACTACTACCCGATATCCTTATCACTAATAACTACTACCCGATATCCTTATCACAATTATCACTAATATTACTTTCTATCATCGCTTTCAAACATGTTCAAAATTCTAGGAAATTTCTTAGAAATCATAAAACTCCTTATACCCTAGCAACAGTTATAAAACAGTTCATCAGTTTAACTGAGAAATTTTGCTACTCATTCTCTTAATATTCAACAACTTTTGAAATTTTAAGGATAATGAAATAAGTTTTACTTAACGAAAAAAACTACAGCAATTTAATCGTAACTGAAGTAATTTAATGCTCATCTCATCCTAAATTATTGTTACGTAACAAATGCTACCTTTAATTCACTTACGTGTATTGCAATTTTTGATAATCAATCAAACTGCAGAATATATGATAATAATGATAAAAATAACATATAATAATCGAATTTATTATTCTAATGTTATTGCGCACACTAATCTTTGTTTTTGGTGAATATATACATTTATATATATATGAAATCTTTCTGAAATTTTTATTCCTTCTGTTGGCAAAAAAAAAAAGAAATCTCTGAGAAAACGCTTTTCAAAAATAAGCTTTTAATTCTTCTTTAAATGATCTATCGAAAGCTGTGCATCTCAAATAAGCTAGTACTTCCTTTGAAAATCATATTTTATTCACTGTAACTAAATAGCGAAAAAAAAAATGCTTTTATAAGCTAAAAATAATACATAGAATCCACATTTATTTGTCCAAAATCGTTTAATTATTCAATCTTTAGCTGCTATTTACTTAACTATTAAAGAAATGTGTAAAGTGGAAATTAAACGAATTTAAAATGAATGAAAAATTTTCCTGACACATTACAGTATCCTAAAATCTTATCACTTTGTCATGGAATCTAAGCTAAATTTATAATTTCATAACTACCATCACATCATCTCATTATTTTTTGCTAAAATATTATAATTGTGAGCATTTGAGATTTTCTAATTGTTTTTTTTTTATTTGTTTGTTTTTTATTATTCTCATATTAAAGCTGATTATATTAATTAGACATATATATATCTCATACATTAATTAGTTCAACAAACATCCAGTATTTATAATCATCAGAAACTAAACTACTATATTACAGATTTGTCGATTTTATGGTACTATCCACTTTAAAGATCCACTTGAATTAACAATAAATTTCGAATCATTTATTCATTTATACCTAATTACTACCT